AAGTCAGTCGAGAAAATATCTCAATTAATTTCTGCTTATTAAAAGCTCGAAATAATAATTTCAATAATACCCAAAGAAACGAAACTGCATCTGAACATTATAGCGAAATAAAAAACAATGGAAATTGCCCGAAAGACGATGATAACATTTGTTACAAATTGTCTGTGACTCTCTCTAAAATTGGATACCGCTTGTTTTTGTCATAAATTGTTTCTGCAATTGGTGCGCAAGTGATATACAAGAGTGTACACAGGAGGAAATGATGTGGACGTCAAAAAACAATGGCTGAAATGGTTTTCTGTTGGCCAGTTTTTCTATATTGCAACACCAATCCATCATATCACAAGTGACCTGGTTTAGTATGCAGAACACAGTCAGTTGTTAAACCCAAAATTTTTACCTCAGCTATGAGTTCGTACGTTTATAATAGCTCGATCACTGTTCGGGATAGAAAATCATGGTATTAAAATGTGCGCGGAGAAAGTACGTCGATAACTTCGATTAGGATGACTATCGGTGTAGAAACAATGTAAAAATATAAAACAAGCTTTCGTTATTTAAAACACTAATTCTAAGCATTCGATAAAATTGTGGACGAATAAAAATCGACTTCAACCATGAATCTATTAATATTTAAAGAAGTTCATTAAATAAGACCTATACACTTCTTAATACCAAGTTTGTTAAATGTACAAACGTCAATAAACATACAAAGAAATGTGAATTTTGACCGAATTAATTATGAATTTATGGCTTCACAAATTCTCGATAATTTCCTGCCTCGTCATACCCACAGAGTGAAGAAATACGAAGCAACATTTAGTACAAATTGCTTCAAACTATTCGCAAAGTCTTCTTTTCAAACGCCTTCCAAAGCTAACAATGTTTCAAGCATGAATTCTAATGAGAAACTTTGAATAAAATGTATTGAAGCAAGCTACAACGTACATTTTAAACTCCACTTCCTTGGAAACAGCCTTTATAAAAGAAACGTCTTAATGTTCCACGTTTCTTCGTTCATTTCTTTGCACCAAACAAGCAGAACGCAACTTACCAAAGTCTCTGATCGTTTTATCTTCTATTTTGTTTTTCTTTTTAATTCCTCCATCGAGAAATTATACACTGTTTTCCATAATCGAACACACGGTTCGACGACGTTTGGACCAACTCTACTATTTCGTCACGCGTTAAAAGCGATTTAAATATGTCTCTTGAAACACGTCCAGCCAGTACTTGATCCTTCACGAGGGATGTAGGACAAGTGGCGCATAAACTTTTTAATCATATTTTTACGAATCCAATTTTCCTTTAGCACGTCATTCTCGCCGGTTGTACTTGACCTTTATAGTATTTCAAAATATACAGCTGCTTTATGTCCGTTCTCTGAACGCACGATCTCCGCGTAGTTTTACCCTGAGACGCAAAAGGTCTGTCATTTTCAGCACGTTTGTCCTCGCATAGAAACACCCTTTTACGATTCTACGGAGCCCCGGTGAATCACCCTCGGGAATTCAGGTTTTATAGACCTTTTGCTGCACGAGCGAAGCCGCTCGGACCAGAAAATTACGCGCCACTGTGTATTTCCACATTCAAATGAAATCTTTAGCGAGAACGATTTGCCCCATCGCAGATTTTCACGTATATAGGGTGGTCCGCTAACTGTTGCAGCTTTAAGGGGGTACATTTGGGTTTAGGCGGTTGATTTTTCCATCAAATTCGTCGTTTCTTTTCCAAGCGACGAGGAGAGTTGCAATATTGCTGCTTCGTACATACGTTCGTTCATCTTTCGGCTGTGTAAAATCAGCGATAAAGACTCGAAATGTTTACAACATTCTGAGTTATGTGCAGTGGCATGTGAACATCCTCGCTGACTTGTTCCAAGGTTTTTTCACTGGAACCAAGTGTATTTTTAATCCTCAAGAGTGTGGCTGTTGCTCCAACTACGATCATAAATTTAAAAAAATTTTCTACAAAATGGCGGTGAGTTGAAGTGAAACATACGTTTTTTCCTGCGGTTTTCGTAAGTTTCAGGTGGCAAAAAAATCGAATTTTTGAAAATATTCACCTACTTTTGGTTAGGAAGATTGCGATAGATGTTCTGGATACGCAGTATAAAGGGGAAAGCAATCGGTCCAGTAGTTTCTGAGAAAAGCTTGGTTGGAAGATCTACGTCAGCCATGGTCTTCAGTCATTCAAACCCTCGTAGCTTATCCAATTTCGAAAAATCGTGTCACAGACATATTCTCTAAGCTATAGAGTGTGCAAAAATGCAACATCGATTTTTTTGACCCGGAAAAACAGAGAAGATTCATTTGCGAAGCAATCAAATTACTCCATTAGCACAACGATAATATGTTGGACTAATACCTATTTTCAGAATCCTCAGATTGGTGTACTCCCTTGACAAAGTGCCATTTTCTCACATAAAATCGTGAAATTTGTTTAAAATTCTTTCCTTGGAATTTAAATTCTAAAAAGGTTAATTTGCAAAGCAATCGAATTACTTGATTAACCCTTCGACAATTTATCCCAAATGAGACTCGAGCAGTGCGTTAAATAACGAACAGTTTAACTCAAGAGAGACTTTTAGGCAGAAAGTTAGAAATGGCCGAGATATTATTATCAGAACTGTGACGTAGGGTTATCTACACTGTGCTTTAAAAATAATCACACGCGGCGTAATTATTAAACGTGTAAAATACACATTTTATTCACTCTAATTCGTAATTATATTAGACTGTCAAAGGGTTAAAGACAATGCAAGACACAAACGATAACATGCTTTCATTAATTCGCGCAAATCCGGAAGGTCCCTGCACCAATTTCATCTCCTCTGCATCCATAAAAAATCCATATTGGGTTGCATCTGGCGAATTGTCCTATTTGGACCCAGCTTCTTCCGTAATCTCTCATTTGTCGAGGCCAAGCCAGTGGAAAGAAGACAATGATATTCAGTGATGCTAATTAAGACCGTGTCCTTCATCGCATTATGTCAATTCACAGTGTCGAATGGAACAAATAGAGGTACGACAATCCTCTAGCAGGTATTTACCGCCTGCTACCGCGCAAAAACAATAGAAACGAGAAAACAGAGAGAAAACGGTACGAGAAAATAGAGAACCGGCACCGCAAAAGGATGCCGTGGCCAACTGCGAATCAACCTGCGTCGAACATATTTGCGTGCCGCCTCTCAGAGACGTGAATTTACAATGAACGAATGTGTGAGTAGTTTGCCTACCGATACACACCAGTCATGGGAAACCCCGTGGTCTTTTATAACAGTTAGTCGGTGGTCGGAGCGATTCGACCAGCCCATTACGATCTGAAAACACAATCTCGGCCCATAATTGACCTCAAATTGCACTCGCCTGAGGGGAATCAGTTAATGCAAGTGCGTGTTGTTCCGAGTAATCAGGGTAATTCCTTTTACCTCGTTGTCAGCCTTACGTTTTCTTCTCCCTTGCACCCGTGCAACAACTTACCCATTCGATGAGAAACTTCGAGCTTCGTTTAACCAGTCTTGTTATCACACTGTTACATTGTGCCACCTAACGACACTGTGCTTGTCTTTTTGTATTCATTCTTTGCGGAATTTTCTGTGTGATCTGTTAGGTCGTGTGACGTGAAATTTAATTTAAAGAAATATTATCCTTAGATTCTTTAGGAGTGATTTATGAAGAATTGCGTGGATTTTAAGTTAACGCGAAAAAGATAAAAAGTTTGTAGTACTCAAGTCGGAATTGGTAGAAAATACATTTTTTACAGATTCAACCAGTATCTTGACATTTGGCTAAGAGGAAACCATTCCTTGTAAACTTACTAATTAACGCTTTGTTTCGACAATTGATCTTCCCATCCTTTCAGCAACCTTATCTTGCTCCAATTTTTATAATCCTTAAATTTCATAATCTGCTCACTCTCTGAGAATAAATTTCTAAGGACCCAACCGAACTAGTTTATTATCGAAACCAAAAACGCAAATTTTGGGTGGACCAATAAGAATTACATACTACCTTGAATATTTCCAGAACCATGAAGGTAAGAAAAGAATTTTTCGAATAAAAATTGTTTTGTGGAAAGTCATCTCTATTTTTTTAACATGTCATAGTTTTTTATTTATTCTTTAACAGCAACTTCTAGGACAAACACAAAGACTTATAGCATAAAGTCACTCAATAAATTCTGACGTTATTAAAATCAATAATCTTGGCTAATTTCGTGTTCTAAGTCATTGTATTCATTTTAAGGGCTGCTATTATGTTAGCCTTCGTATCTCTTCAGCGAGTTCACCCATAAAAAAAATCTTTACGCCCATACGCTAGTCCCTTTTATAGCAAACAACTTTCATTCGGAAAATTCCTCTCTTACTTTCACTATTCTCGAGATATTCAAGGTTCTGAATAAATAAGAAAACGTAGATGACCTTCGCATCTCTTCAGCGACTCCACCCGTAAAAAGATCGTTACGATCGTACAATACAGTAGGGCGCCCTATAACACGGGAAGTATAATACAAATTAAGTTCCATCGACGTCGCTTTTTTGGCCAAATTTCATTAATCCAAAATTACAAATTTGTCCTTTCTTTCTTTCTTTTTTTTTTTTTTGACAGCGTTATACGGGGACAGTAGTAATTTTTTGATCGCGTTATACGGGGAAGATAGTAATTTTTTGCGTTATACAGGGACAATAGCAATTTAGGGGGACAGTAGTATTTTTTTGCATTATATGGGGACAGTAGTAATTTTTTGATCGCGTTATACGGGGAAAATAGTAATTTTTTGATCGCGTTATAGGGGGACAGTAGTAATTTTTGATCGCGTTATACAGGTTCCCACTGCAGTCCCTTCTATAGCAAACAACTTTCATTGGAAAAATTCTTCTCTTACCGTCACGATTCTATAGATACTCAAAGTGGTAATTGTTACTGCTCGTCCACCCTATACGTGTAACACCAGAGAAGTATAATAATCTAATTGATTTGTTACACGGTTTCTTTCAGAGCTGTGGTGACAGCGGTTTCCTGGCATCCTCACGGCACCTACCTTGCATCAGTGGACAGGGCAAAAACTGTGACAGTGTGGGGCGACCATGTTTAACAGGACTAACGATCCCGAAGTATACGATATGTTCCACGCACGAAGATCAGCGCGTTCTTTTGTGTGCCACCGGTGGGACGTTTGCGGAATTGAAAAATGCAGACAAGCTCACGCGCCGCAAAAGGTATCACGAAAGGCAGACAGACCGGTGCAGGATAATAAAAAATAAAAAAATATCAGCGAACGGTTTGGGCGCGCAGGTTGTAAAGGATATACCATTTCGAGGTTGCACAAAGAGAAGCTACCAGCGATGAGTAAAAATTCAGACACGGTTGGGATTATTGTACATAAAACTGTGCTCTGATTGTTCTACCCAAGGTTGTAAAGATTTCCTTTCTTAGAGGGGGATGATACCTGCGCGCCACAACCGCCATCTCCCTCCTTCGCAAATTCGACAGATTATCGTAGATATCCTTTTGAGATTCGCTAGATCCACTCCTTTTACTCGTACAACACTACTTTCGCGCGTTTCGTATTCGTCTGTTGTCTCAGCAGACGCAATTGCTCATGTTCGATTACTTTGCGCGAAACTAAGGTAACCTGGGATTTGTCTCACCTGTCGTTTGATGACGAGTCGATAAATAAATTACACCTTTTCTCTGAAAAAAGAAAAAAAAAAGAACGTGAACGAATGAGAAAAATCTCTTTCCAACGTAAACTGACTGCCAGCTGCTATTTTTCAATATAGTCACCGGGTACTTCTGAATACTTGTCGCAAGGAGAAACCAATTTTCAAATTACGTTCTCAAAAAATTTGCGTCCCATTGCACGTGATCATTTAGATTGTTTTCCAGTCGTGTCTTCTTTCGTTTGGTCGAACACATGGAAATCACACGATAAGAGATCTGGACTATCAGCTGGATGTTCTCATTGGTCCCATTGAAATTTAGGCAACAGCATATATGCCACAGTCTCAGAATATTTTTGAACATTGCTTTTGAGCAGGACCACTTTTCTTCTAAATTTTGCGGGTCAGTTTTTTTTCTATGGGTGTTCATAGACGTTCCAACGTTTCACCATAAGCAAAAGTGTTATAATTGTTCCTCCTTTAGGTATAAATTCAGCAAGAATTAGGACTTGCAAATTAAAAATAGCTCGGAGGTGTAACTTACTTCTTAACTCACCCTGTGTATCTCTCGTGTCTATTTTCTTCTGTGTCGAAGAACATTCTGATTCGTCCAATTTCGCGACGATGATTAATTGCAGATCGCGAGCAACGTTCTTCGTACACTCGTAGCAAAAAGTTTTGAAAATCGTAGAACAAGTTTGTTAATTGCCGAAGCAGCCGTGAAATCGAATCTACTTCGGGAAGTTCTCCAACGTCAGCGAGTTTCGAATGTTTTTATCGTATACCTGATAGAGGGTGGAAGCGGATGTACTCGGTAAACGAAGAAGCACAATAAAGTTCTAATGTCAAGTAAATTACATTATACGAATTTCGTTTGATTAACGATATATTACCGAACAATGTATTGTGTTCTCTCTCTCTCTCTCTGTCTCTCACGAGCGTCATTTGTGCTGTAAAAGCAAGTAATTAGCCTTCTGTATGAGCCGTCCCACGTCAAAACAATGATCACAGTGTACATTAAACTTGGACCGTTTCTTAATAGTCTAGGGGAAGTTACTTCGTTCAGTACTTAAGGGGATACACCACCTCGAGGCGTATAACAATAGGCAAAGTTTTGGAATTTTTTTCATAGGTAATTCCTAAATGAAAATTTTCAATTTTTTTCAGAGGATATAAATGTAACTTTCAGCTTTTCTCTCCGATTTTTAAAAAGTAAAAATGTTACAAAATGGAGGAATTATTGTTTCCTCCTTTTCTGCTTGAACATCGACTGCTGGTTACCATCGTCAGCAAGGATTGGAACGTCTGAAATAATAACTCCTCCATTTTGTAACATTCTTACTTTTTAAAAATCGAAGAGAAAAGCTGAAAGTTGCATTTATATCCTCTGGAAAAATTGAAATTTTTTATTCAGTATTTAGCTACGAAAAAATTCACAAACTTTACTTATTTTTAAACAGCTCGGGGTGGTGTACCCCCTTAAATAATTTAGCACGAATTAAGGCGTTAGGCGTGAAGACTTGAAAATTTAAACAAATAGACTGATATTATTCTACTTTTTATTTAAGATTAGTCGAATTCTAAAGTGTCAAGTACAAAGCAATGTTTCGAGATTACATTTTTTGCTATTTCACATACTATTGTGCTCGAATTATCTCGCAAAGAAAATACTATACGCATTACTACCCTATACTAGTCTGGTGAAATTGACAATTTAGAAATGTTGTATGTAAATTTAAACACGTACTTCTACGTAACATATTTCCTCTGAAAATTTCCATATTTTTTCTCTAATGGTATGTAGACTGTTGCAAAAATCATGAACTTAATAGCAAGCTAGCTAGTTCGAAACTGGGTGAACACAATAAACATTCACGATGCCCCGCCCTCCTCAGGAAGTTCTTTCAACTTTTCACGATGTTTCGATTAACATAATGAAATCCTCAATTGGTCTAAAACCTTGTTACTCGAATACATTTCTAACTTTGCCAAGTTCAAAGCGAATTAACAGAAACACTTAGTTTCCATAAATTCTCTATATTCTTTTTTCTTATACACAACTCGTGGAAAAATGCAGAAATGTGAAATGATAAATCTTTGTTAAAAAAAAGAAAAAAAAAAAGAAGAAGAAGAAATCAAACTACTCTAAGATTAAGCGAAAAGAGATTATACTTCATTTGCATATTTATCACAATTACTTCCCTAAAATTTACAAATTCTACTTAATAATTTAGGATCATCGATTGTAGAGTTTAGTGCAAATTGCTCACTTAAAATTATTGAAAGTTTGACAATTGCGAAAGAGATTATAAGCTGAACACACATTGGTGCATCATTTCACGTGGAATGACTCATACAACTCACGTTTCGTGATTTTTATTCGACGTTTACATCGAACACTTTTCTTAAATATCATTTGTGTATAGTCGGTGGAAGCGATACAGTGAAGTCGTAAAATCAGTTAGGTGTTAAAATACGCGTAATTCGAGCGCCAAAACAGCAATTCGAGGGAGATAAAGAGCTCGAGCTTTACTCAGGGCCGTCCGATGTCAACTCGGAATTGCTTCCTCTGCGTTGCAGTATATTTAAAAATTTAGTCTGCACCTTGATCATTGGCAGCTGTGGATTAATTTTTACCAATACGGAAATTAAAATTAATACTCTACATTTTAAATGAAAGATTGTAAGGAAAGGTGTTCAATATAAATTCACAAATGACAGACGGCCGTGGGCGTGGCTACGTCAATAAGTATCGCCGCCTAGCGTTTTAATTTACAACTTCGCTGTATCGCTTCCACCAACTATACCGCGTTAACTCGCTGTCTCTTAATTCGTGCAGACAATTTTAAAGTAGCTCGTCACAGCACATCATAATAGTTATAAGTGAATGCTTTTTTAGGAGTACAGGGCCAAGGTCGAAGGACTTTTTAAGGTGTAAGTATAGAAATTTACGACAATGTGCGTCAGTGAAAAAAAAAAAACAAAATACCAACGTGTATAGTTTTTCATATTTTTGATACGTGCTTTTGTTAAACTCTGATACACAGCAAGCACATGAAGCACTGATATACACAATTGTTCATAAGTATTAAGACACTTGTAAACGTGACGAGAAAATAATGAAACACAATCGTTAAGGTAATATTTAAGGTCCTGAAAATAATATTCACCTTGAAAATTTATATCGTAAGTGTTGTTAACGAAGCGGTGAATAATTGTAATTTATACAAAGTATCGCGTTTTATACAAACATAACGGGTGTCCTAACACTTATAAACGTCGGTGTACATCATGAGAACGTGTTCCTAGATTTCTTTGCTCGCTTATTTCGTGTATCATCAGCTCATATTTTCACGCGTTTTCAAACTTTTCCTTCTCAAAGTCCTTTGATCGTCATTTTATGTAAGTCTACAGGGTGGGCCACGTAAAACAGGCCACATAATTATCTTCTCTAGCTATTGTGGTACGAGACAATTTTTACGCGTAACTTAAATAATTTAAGATAAGGAGAAAAATTTTTTTTTACAAATGCCGCCATTTTTTCTATTTTTTTTTCAGGGTCATCTATGTTTTTCTACGTGAATGTGTGTATGTATATATATACACTAGCCTTAGACGCTAATATTTTAAATCAAATGTGAAGCTTCCCTTCATTTTTCGCTGTTTCATCCATCACACAAATTTATCTTCCATCTTACTCATACTTCGAAGCCATTTAAATTACGTGTAAAAAATTTTCTCACACCACCGTAGCTAGATAAGGTAATTAGGTGGCCTCTTTCACATGGCCTACCCTGTACATCGATACCGCGAAGGAAGTAATATGTTCTTTGGATAAGTTAAATGTTACATATGGTTTCTGGTGTACGCAAATCGAATAATTACGATTACTATTTGTTTACCATACGAGAAAGGAGCATACTGTATGATTAGTGGTATTATTTATAGCGTTTAAGTTTTATAAGCTACAAATCATCAGAGTGATCGAACATTAGGATTAATTTCCATTTGATTTAACCTAATTAAACGCAGAGATTTTCTATTGATACTGTCATTTTGGATATTTTTTTGTTATTTTTCTTTTAATCAATCATCCATACATGATCTCAAAAGTATCATTTACACGATATATCAGGCTAATGTTGTGCTCGACTAATTTCATTCTTTCTTTTTTTCTTTCTTTTTTTACCTAACATGTATCTACATTGTGGGCTAAAAGTTTCGAATCACCTGCAAATTCACATGAATATTGAATCTGCTGCGAAAAATTTTGAAAATTGCTAAATTTTCTTCTGGAAACATTTTATTTCTATAACTTGCGATACACAGTGATCCTAAAGTTTTGATCGGTAGTGTATACAAACCGATGAGCATTATTATCGTTCGTAGTGTGGAATTTGCAGGTGAGTTTGTTCTTAAAGCAAACGAATTA